CACACACCCACATCCACACACACCCACACTCACACACCCACACCCACACCCACATCGACACCCACACCCCACACCCATACTCACACCCATAAGTACTCCTTTAGCTAGTGATCTAATGATCTTTACTAGATAATGCCGTTGCTTGTATCTCTTGTTAGAAAAAAAAGGGATAGGTTTACAAGAATGCTCGCAGATACATAACTTTTACCCTGATGGACCTATTTATATCGTATTGGATTTTCTTAGCCTTATTAGCTTTACATATAATCAAATAACATATTTGTACCCAATTTTTCATGTTGATTTCAAATAGGATATTTTCAAAAGTTCACAAAATAACTGAAACTGAAATTTGAAAATTTCTAAAATAAAAGTAAATTCAACTTAAAATGCTATTTTTTGTTAGTCATTGTAGTTTTCTTTAAATTTTTTCAGTCAAACAAAGCTTGAATCGAAATAAAAACTATATATTCGTGATCAGCTTTTCACACTCTATCAAACCACATATAAACGAATGAGAAGAAAAATTCACTGAAATTTTGCATTTCCGGCACGATAATAGAAGTTCGAAAATTTGATATCCTTTTAATTAAAATCTAGCGAATTCAGTGCAGTTCAATACAGTGGATTGTTGTAATTTCGTGAGAATTTTGGCAACTGTGGGAGATTCGACAATATTGTCAAGATGCCGCTAGAATTTCAAAATTCGTCGAAATTCTGCCATTATTTCGAGATTGCTGAAATTCAGATGGCCAAATTTCGATTGGCAAGATTCCATAGAACCTTTTGTAATAGACAAATGTTGAATTAATGGCTCAATAGTTGTTGGTATTAATAATAGGTTGGCATTTATTCGCTACACCTAAAAAAGTATCCTTTAATAAATTAGATCCTGGCTTCAAGATTGAAAAAATAGTGTAGAAATATAAATGGCGCTATAGAGATAGGAGTGCTTGGTAGAGATAGAATGAATTTTTGTAAAACTAGTGAAATGAGAAGCAGACACTGTATAGCTGTCATTTTGAAGAAGCATACATTAGATTCAAGCTGAGTGTAAGAAAAGAACATAAATGAGAATAAATCTTACGATGGAGCTGTGATTTCAGTAGTCATTATAACTTTTTCTATGTGACTTTAAATAGTGGCATTTTATATGTATCTGTGAGAAACACATATGATAGTTTCTATTTCGCCATAAAAGGAAGAAAAATGAATATTGATCATTTGTTGAAAAACTTTCTAGTAGATTCAGTGTTTCTCAGATAAAGATTATGACAGAATCGCTTTGTTCGTGCTGCATACTCTTTGGAAAATCCTCACGGCGAATCAATTTCATTATTGTCACAGGTGCGCCACACAGTTTGATATATGAACGAGTCAAATGTATGTGTAGAAATTATTCAAATACTTCTTCTTGTACTGATGACATTCATCTAATGCATTATAAAACATTGAAGAATATCAGTGATAAACTCTTTAATGACGAAAATCCTTCATCATCAATCGATCAAGCAGTATTAATTTCGATGGAAGCATGTTGTAATGGTTCTACTGTAATGCCTCATGATATCGATGATGTATCAAATTCTTTGCAGCTGGACATATTTCAGAAAAAAATGTTCGAACTGTCAGATTCAACAGCTGAAGAAAAATCTATAGAACGTAAATCAAAAAGTTGGATTTTGTTGAGTGGATCAATATTTTTAGAATCACCATTGCTTAACATATTTCTTCAATTCTCCGCATTCAATTCACTATCATCCAACTTCACATTAACTGTACTTTGTTTTCTTGTCAAAGAACCACGACTATTCGAAAATTGGCTATCTCATAATCTATCTATTCAAGATTATCTAAAACATACTTTTCCTTTGTACGATACTCGTGTTCGAAATTTCTTCATATTATTAAATTCTTCAAAATATCTGCAAGACAATACATTACTTGTTGACAAAGAAACTGTTTTAAATGATAGTGCGCTTCAGGCATTGATGCACGATCTTTTTCGTAAGGTATCATCAAAATATCGAGCCAGTGACAACCAACTTCGTGACGAAATGGCACAACTACTATCACCTGTCCAACGAACAACTCGTGACATACTTGTTACCAGAAGCTGTTTAAAAAAATACTATCAACGGAGCATCACAAGTCGATTCAAACCACTTCTTCACGATCTTCAACAATCAATAGCGACTGTTAATGCTGCTCGTTAAATTGTTAATATTGTTCTCGATGATTTCAAAAGTATGGATGATGAAGAACTGCGAGCATATAGAAGACTATGCATCTGTGGTTTTCAAAAACATGATCTAGAAAATGGAAACACGATTGCCACTCAATTGATTCATTTTGCTCTTCACTTACTTAGAAATAATAATGACGATGAATCAATACCTTTAATCTATTCAATAGTTTTAGCCATATGTGAATTAGGTGCTCACTTTTACTTACATCATGACTTATTTAATCACACTCCCGAGACATACACATTAAGTTTGTTACTTGTAACTCAACGGCAATATCCACTAACATTATCTGGTCTTCGACTTTGTAACACTATTCTAGAGGCTGATTAAAACGAATATAAATATGTTACTACTTACTTAACTCATGATCCATTCACAGCACGTAAAATTTTGTATGCGATTACATGGCTTCTGTCACCTTATCAGACTCTCAAAAAAGGATGGGAAGAAAAGAACAAGAGCAAGAAAATTAATATGATGGTTCTGAGTAAGTACAAACATTCATTATGAGGTATCAGTATTAAAACTGATGCTTTCTATTGTTATCAGGTCAACCGAAACAGAATCGACTGTGCACATTTCAGAAAGAGATTGTTTTCGTCATGCAGAAATTCTCATTAGTCAGTCCTATATAAGTAATCTCTCATCATTATTTTATGGATCAGCGGATCAATACATGCAAGTGATGCGAGATGACGTATGGCAGTTCGCAAAAGTCATCGATGTCTTAACAGATTCTCGATTGTTAATACGTATTCGCGGAGAATACCACTGCCCTTCGAGTGTAGTGCTTGTAAGTGAATTATGTGCTCTTCTAAAACCCATTCTACTCTGCGGCTCACCTCCAGTTTTTTTTGGCATTAATAAATCAAAATAATTTATTATCAGCCGTTCCTGCAGCTGTTCAAAATCTACTAAACATGAGCGAATTCAACGAAAATCGGATAACCTTACGCAGGAATTTCTATATACAATTTGTTCAGAAAAAATGCAAACAAAAGGAACGTCACAATGATAAAGAAAATGAAGAAAATATAGGATTCTTCGATGCCAAAACCACTGAGCAGAATATTGATTCATTTGTCCCCTTAAATCTTTCTCAAGATTTAATTTCATTATACTTTGATTTATATCGAAAAATTCAGAAAACATCTTCACTTGATGGGAAATCGATACAGCAAGAACAAATTCAAGAATTATTCAATGAAGAATGGAAAAGATTCGATACTCTAAAACTTCAAAATGAGAATAAACAACTGAAACAAGAATTACAGTAGCTCCATGAAGAATTATTACAATTAAGAAGTGAATTACAACGTACTCAGTTAGAGAGAGATCATTTTAGAAAAGAAAACAATACGGTGCATCAAGAAATAGATAAACTTAAATTAATACCAACTACGATTAAAAATGTGGAGTTTCGACATCTATCAACAGTTGTTTCTGCTGATAAGAACAATGAGAAGAACGCAATTGATGAATTACAAAATCTTTCTCCAAATGAAATCACGTCGAAACAAGCAGAAAAATTTATTCAAGAAATTTATCATCGACGAACAACATTCAATGATAATGATATGCGAAAGTCTATTTGTGGATCACTTAAACATCTTGGTTCTGATCTTTATACTTCACCTGTACATTTTTTACATGAACTTATTCAGGTTGTTTTCTTGTCCTTTTCATTTTCTTTCAATGAAGTTTTTTGTTTATAGAATGCTAAAGATAATTTTTACGATACTTCAATTATACCATGTTTACGTATTGAACTTAATCATAGCTATATACTTTTATCAAATAATGAACAAGGTCTTCGAGCAAGAGACGTATTAGCTATTTGTAGTTTAGCTGTGAGTACCAAAACAATTGAACAGGACCATATAGGTGAAAAAGGTGTTGGTTTTAACTCAGTTTTTGGTGCTTCAAATGAACCGATGCTTATTTCACATGCTTGGAAACTTTGTTTTCATGTACCAGGTCTTGATGCTATGTCATATATAACTCCATTATGGATAACAGATAAGGACCTTCCTGAGTGTATTTCTAAACAAATTTCAACATATCCTCAATATACTCATCTATATCTGCCGTTAAAATTTCAAGCACATACACCTGAAGCTAATTCATTTCTTGATCAAGTTATCAAAGCTGTAGATCCATGCATTTTACTTAATATGCGTCAATTGAAAAAACTCGAAATTGTTGACGAAANTCGAAACAAGCAGAAAAATATATTCAAGAAATTTATCATCGACCAACAACATTCAATGATAATGATATGCGAAAGTCTATTTGTGGATCACTTAAACATCTTCGTTCTGATCTTTATACTTCACCTGTACATTTTTTACATGAACTTATTCAGGTTGTTTTCTTGTCCTTTTCATTTTCTTTCAATGAAGTTTTTTGTTTATAGCATGCTGAAGATAATTTTTACGATACTTCAATTATACCATGTTTACGTATTGAACTTAATCATAGCTATTTACTTTTATCCAATAATGAACAAGGTCTTCGAGCAAGAGATGTATTAGCTATTTGTAGTTTAGCTGTGAGTACCAAAACAATTGAACAGGACCATATAGGTGAAAAAGGTGTTGATTTTAAATCAGTTTTTGGTGCTTCAAATGAACCGATGCTTATTTCACATACTTGGAAACTTTGTTTTCATGTACCAGGTCTTGATGCCATGTCATATATAACTCCATTATGGATAACAGATAAGGACCTTCTTGAGTGTATTTCTAAACAAATTTGAACATATCCTCAATATACTCATCTATATCTGCCGTTAAAATTTCAAGCACATACAGCTGAAGCTAATTCATTTCTTGATCAAGTTATCAAAGCTGTAGATCCATGCATTTTACTTAATATGCGTCAATTGAAAAAACTCGAAATTGTTGACGAAAGACAAAAGAAAGTAACAATTATTGAAAAACAAATTATAGGTCCAACTAAATTAGAAGAACAATCGAGTGTTATATTTGAAGATTTTACATTTCTTAATCTTTCTGGATCTGCCATTCGATTGCATACATCAACAGGATATAGCACTTTCCGAGTATACATGTGTTATATTAATGTAGCAAACTACATTGAACAAGAACGACCTCCTAAAACACGAATAACTATAGGATTCCCTTGTGAAAAAGATTATGAATTGGCCCGTACAGTTTATCAAGGTTTACCTGTTTGTGATCTTGGTTTTAATTTTTTATGCAATGCTGATTTTCAATTAGTTACAAATCGAGAGAATGTTCGAGAAAACGTTCCGTTCAATACATTCATTCGTACTCATCTGTCAGCACTTTTTGTCTATCTTTTATTAAATGATATAGACCTAAGAAAAGATTTTAATCGTTATTGTCCATTATTCAATATATATCAAGGAAAACATTCATCATGGTGGCTTCTTATGATTGATTATATCAAGAAATTCATAAACAAATATCTTCCATTATTATTGGATATTCCAACAGGTAGGCACTGATTTGAANAAGTCAAGTGTTTATAGGAAATATTTGCCAGGATAATTTTGATGTCCACACATTCTAGGATGACTCATCTGTTTAATTCACTTTTTGAAGTACACATAACTCTCGGATTTAAATCCGAAGTTTCCACATTTTTTAATATACAAATAAATAGTACATTCTTGCTCTTTTCATAGATAACCAGTGAAAACAACTATGGTTGACAAGAAATCTTTCAGTATACAGATGTCGCGTCAGATTACAAAGCTAAAGGTATACGTGAGTCCCACATTTTAGCTCTACAGGAGCTGCGCTAACAAGCCTCTTATTGTGAAACATGATCTGAAAGGAGTATTGAAGTGTTTAGGAGTAGAAATTTGTACTCCAACTTTCCCCTCCCCATAGAGCGTGATAGATATCTTAATAACTTAATTAATTAGTATTTATTTAACTAATTAACCGTCACAGACCGTGACATAAAGACTATAGTTCTAAAGCATTAGATAAACGGTTAGCTACAAATTTATCGCAAAGAAATGGAATAAAACGATTTCAATTTAACTAGCAACAATAGATCCATGGTGTTTCACATTTTAAACCCATCAGGGATTGCGCTAACAGCTTTTTTATGTGTTCCGATAATATTTGACTGCCAAAATTGGTAAAGTAAAAGTCAACGAATAAGAACATTGATCATAAATATCAAAAGCTGCTTAACACTTTTCATAATGAAACAAGCACTGTTTGTTTTCTCGTTCAAATACCAGTATGTTATTTATAGTTTGTTGATAGCAATGTGAATATCGGGTATCTACATTAAAATAATCGGTGTCTTACTCACTAAAACAATACTGATGTGTAGGCGTAGAGCTTCTTTTCAAGTAAATCTATTAAAACCCTAACTATCTAAAGATTCTATGTATCACTGATTTCAAGTGATCTGTATTCTGTGCAACGGGAAGAACAATTTGCCAGCATTCTTGTCCAACAAGTTTCAGTCAATTTCTCTCAATTAAAACTCTCACCAAAACTTATCCTCGAAATCTGTAGGCGGAAGACACTAGAATCACCCATTGTCGACGATCGAAAGCATGCGCCAGTTCATCTGTCCGAAATACGCAGAAACGCATAACGATACGATCATAACATTCAGGGATCCGAACCTTAGCCTTGAATATGAGGATATGGGGTGTGGCTGTTGAAGTAGAAAACACTGGAACCACACCCATATAATTTGTTTAAATAATTGTTCTAACCATATAGTGAGACTGTAAAGTGGCATGGATCTGTATGAGGTTTTTCTCCAACTTCAAGAATCCAACCGAAATTCCCTCGACAGGCAATTTCTTCTCATTGTTGCAAATCACAACGGACACGACAAGCAATTCTCGACAAGAGTAGCATTGGTCTTTATCTTATTCCTTTTCAAGAATCGCTCTCAGTGGAAATTTAGTGTGTCTTTATTGAATCTCAACCGATCTTATTCAGACATGTAAGCTTCATTGATCGATGAAGCAAACTTCAGAGTTAAAAAAAAGAGATGGATTTATCAAATCATTTTTATACACTTTTATCTCGAAGATTTTGTTTTGAATCATCTACTGAAGTTCTTCTCAAAACATGCGTTTCTTCATCAATGATTACTTCATGTTATTTGGGCAGTTTGAAGCTGACAACTTGATCAAACAAAATAAGCAGTGTACTGGAAAATATTGGCTCGATTGCCGATTCTTTTCTAAAAATAGTCGAGCATATTGAACCGTTTTTTTCTGTGTCAAGCGAGACAAACCATCAAGAGAAATAGCAGATATTTGATTAAATATAATAATAGATGCACCTCTCTCCTCTATTTTCGGTGCCTATGAAAGGAACATTTTTAATAAAGGCTTCTCAAGAACTTTTGTGAACGAATTTGGATTCAATGTTCCATAGATTTGTCCCACCATTGGTTCACATGAAACTGGGCCTTCAAATACTTTTGGTTGTAAAGATGTTGATAAGCACTTTTTCAATAGTACCATCACTCACATCCACACCTACACACACCCGAAACTGATCATTTGTTGAAATAATTTCTAGTAGATTTAGTGTGTTCCAGATAAAGATTATGACAGAATCGCTTTGTTCGTGCTGCAAACTCTTTGGAAAACCCTCACGGCGAATCAATTTCATAATTGCTACAGGCGCACCGCATAATTTAATATATGAACGAGTCAAATGTATGTTTCGAAATTATTCAAACACGTCTTCGTGCACTGATAACATTGGTCTAATGCATTATAAAACATTGAAGGATATCAATGATAAACTCTTTAGTGATGAAAATCATTCATCATCAATCGATCAAGCAGTATCAACTCCGATGGAAGCATGTTGTAATGGTTCTACTGTAATGCCTAATGATATCGATGATGTATCGAATTCTTTGCAACTGGACATATTTCAAAAAAAAATGTTCGAACTGTTAGATTCAAAAACTGAAGAAAAATCTGTAGAACGTAAATCAAAAAGTTGGATTTTGTTGAGTGGATCAATATTTTTAGAACCATCTCTGCTTAACATATTTCTTCAATTTACCGCACTCAATTCACTATCATCGAGCTTCACATTAACAGTACTTTGTTTTCTTGTCAAAGAAGCACGATTATTCGAAAACTGGCTGTCTCATTATCAATCTATTCAAGATTATCAAGAACATACCTTTTCTGTATACGATACGCGTATTCAAAATTTCTTCTCATTATTAAATTCTTCAAAATATCTTCAAGATAATACATTACTTGTTGACGAAGAAACTGTTTTAAATGATAGTACTCTTCAGGCATTGATGCAAGATCTTTTTCGTAGTGAATCATCAAAATATCGGGCCAGTAACAACCAACTTCGTGACAACATGGCAAAACTATTATCACCTGTCCAACGAACAGTTCGTGACATATTTGTTACCAGAAACTGTTTAAAAAACTACTATCAACGGAGCGTCACAAGTCGATTAAAACCACTTCTTCACGATCTTCAAGAATCAACAGCAGCTATTAATGCTGCTTGCCAAATTGTTAATATTGTTCTTGATGATTTCAAACGTATGAATGATGAAGAGCTGCGAGCATATAGGAGACTATGCATATGTGGTTTTCAAAACCATGATCTAGAAAATGAAAACACGATTGCCGCTCAATTGGTTTATTTAGCTCTTTATTTACTTAAAAAGAATAATGACGATGAATCAATACCTTTAATCTATTCGATAGTTTTAGCTATATGTGAATTAGGTGCTCACTTCTACTCATGTCATGACTTATTTAATCACACTCCTAAGATATACACATTGAGTTTATTGCTTATAACTCAACGACGATATCCACTAACATTGTCTGGCCTTCAACTTTGCAACACTATTCTAAATGCTGATCAAAATGAATATAAATATGTTACTATTTATTTAACTCATGATCCGTTCACAGCACGTAAGATTTTGAATGCGATTATATGGCTTCTATCACCTTATCAAACTCTCAAAAAAACATGGAAAGAAATAGAAGAAGAACAAGAAAATGAGTATCATGGTTCTGAGTAAGTATAATCATCCATCGTGACGTTTCAGTATTAAAACTGATGTTTTCTATTGCTATTAGGTCAATCAAAACAGAATCGACGGTGTACATTTCGGAAAGAGATTATTTTCGTCATACAGAAATTCTCATTAGTCAGTCCTACATAAGTAATCTGTCATCATTATTTTATGGATCAGCGGATCATTGCATGCAAGTGACGCGAGATGACGTGTGTCAGTTTGCTGAAGTCATGGATGTCTTAACAAATTTTCGATTGTTAACACGTATTCGAGGAGAATATCACTGTTCTTCGAATGTAATGCTCATAAGTGAATTATGTGCTCTTCTAAAACCCATTCTACTCTGCAGCTCACCTCCAGTTTTTTTGGCATTAATAAATCAAAATAATCTATTATCAGCCGTTTCTACAGCTGTTCAAGGTCTACTAAAAATGAACGAATTTAACAAAAATCGGATAACGTTATGCATGAATTTCTACATACAATTTGTTCAGCAAAAATGCAAACAGAAAGAACTTCACAATAATAAAGAAAATGAAGAAAATATAGAATTCTTCAATGCAAAAACCCCTGAGCAGAGTATGGATTCATTTGTTCCCTTAAATCTTTCTCAAGATTTAATTTCGTCATACTTTGATTTATATCGAAGAATTCAGAAAACATCTCCACTTGATGGAAAATCGATACAAGAGAAACAAATTCAAGAATTATTTAATGAAGAATGGAAAAGATTCGATACTCTACAACTTCAAAATGAGAATGAACAACTGAAACAAGAATTACAGTCACTCCATGAAGAATTATTGCAATTAAGAAGTGAATTACAACGTACTCAGTTAGAAAGAGATCACTTAAGAAAAGAAAACAGCATGGTGCATCAAAAACTAGATAAAGTTAAATTAATGCCAACTACGATGAAAAATGTAGAGTCTCAACAGTTATCAACATTTGTTTCTGCAGATAAGAACAGTGAGAAGAATACAATTGATGAATTAAAAAATCTTTCTCCAAGTGAAATCACTTTGGAACAAGCAGAGAAATGTATTCAAGAAATTTATTATCGACGAACAGCATTCAATGAAAATGATATGCGAAAGTCTATTTGTGGATCACTTAAACATCTTGGCTCTAATCTTTATACTTCCCCTGTACATTTTTTACATGAACTTATTCAGGTCGTTTTCTTGTTCTTTTCATTTTCTTTCCATGGATTTTTTTGTTTATAGAATGCTGAAGACAATTCTTACGATACTTCAATTATACCGTGTTTACGTATTGAACTTAATCATAGCTATATACTTTTATCGAACAATGAACGAGGTCTTCGAGCAAGAGATGTATTAGCTATTTGTAGTTTAGCTGTGAGTACCAAAACAATTGAACAGGGACATATAGGTGAAAAAGGCGTTGGTTTTAAATCAGTTTTTGGTGCTTCAAATGAACCGATGCTTGTTTCACATGCTTGGAAATTTCACTTTCATGTGCCAGGTCTGGATGCTATGTCATATATAACTCCATTATGGATAACAGACAAGGATCTTCCTCAATGTATTTCTAAACAAATATCAACATATTCTCAATATACTCATCTATATCTGCCGTTAAAATTTCAAGCACATACACCTGAAGCTATTTCATTTCTTGATCAAGTTATCAAAGCCGTAGATCCATGCATTTTACTTAATATGCGAAAATTGAAAAAACTCGAAATTGTTGACGAAAGACAAAAGAAAGTAACAATTATTGAAAAAAAAATTATAGGTCCAACTAAATTAGAAAAACAATCAAGTGTTACATTCGAAGATTTTACATTTCTTAATCTTTATGGATCTGTCATTGAATTGCATAAATCAACAGAATATCACACTTTTCGAGTATACACGTGTGATATTAATGTAGCAAACTACATTGAACAAGAACAACCTCCTAAAACACGACCTTCTACAACACAACTAATTATAGGATTTCCTTGTGAGAAAGATTATGAATTGACTAGTACAGTTTATAAAGGCTTACCTGTTTGTGATCTTGGTTTTAATTTTTTATTCAATGCTGATTTTCAATTAGTTACAAATCGAGAGAATGTTCGAGAAAATGTTCCGTTCAATACATTCATTCGTACTCATTTATCAGCACTTTTTGTCTATCTTTTATTGAATGATACAGACCTAAGAAAAGATTTTAATCGTTATTGTCCATTATTCAATATAAATCACGGAAAATATTCATCATGGTGGCTTCTTATGATTGATTATATCAAAAACTTCGTAAACAAATATCTTCCAATATTATTGGATATTCCAACAGGTAGGTACTGGTTTGAAAATTAATCTAAAATAAGTTAATAATCATGTTTAGACAAAAATATTCGTTACATCAATAGAGATCTAGCATTACTTATATCAAATGAACAATTATGCCAATGCGCTAATATTTATGTCATTGATCCAGAAAATTCTTTCTCAACATTGGAACGTTTAAAATCTTTTCAAATTCAACCAGTTTCAATTATAGATGTCTTGGAATGTTTTCCACATCGAGAAGAAATATCAATAAATGCATTTCGACAACAATTCAGACTTTGGATACAACAACAAGATAAACAATGGTGGTCTCAATTTTTTCATCATTTATCTCAAATGATGACGTCAGAAATTTCTCTTAAACTTTTACAAATGCCAATTTTTCTTCTTCAAAATGATGGTCAAAGACAATATTTACCAATCAATAATAATACTCAATTACTTCTTTTCATTAGTAATGATCCGAAATTACGGATGTGGAAAAAACAAATTACTCTTTTACAATACTCTTCAGAATCAGAAAGAATTGCTCTTGTCAAAACAAATCAAATACAAGTCCTAACCGAAAAACGAATGATTGAGATTATTCATCAGCATCATTTACAATTAGCTGTGTCATCTCAGCTTACAGATCCTGATATTGACTTAATCGAAGAAATATGGAAAGATTTATCTTATTTAAAATCTCATATCGATAAAATAAATAAATCTACTCAATTTTTAGTACCAGTTATTGGGACATCAAAGTTTACTCCAATTCAAAATGCAGTGTTACCAACAATACTTGGAATAGATATACGAAAATTGATACATCCAACAACAACGCTAATCATGGATATTCCTTATAATAATGCTCATCAATGTCAGTTATCAGATATTCTTGAATGGGAGCATTTTTTACTTGAAATGAATTGTCAAAAAGCATCAATTCGTCTTCCTTTAAGCTACTCCATCAAAGAACTACCTCTTCTACCAGTATCAACAATGTTTAGCAATGAAAAATGTACTCAATTAGGAGTGTTGATTCTTTCATATCAAAGAGATGACACAAAATATTGTCTTCGTCAGTTTCCCATTGTTGATAATTCAAAAGGCGAACAACAAATAAGTCCAGTTTCCGCCACATTTGATGAAACGATCGTAATTAATTTACCAACATTACCACGTATCACTATTCCACTTTATTGTCGTACATTAGCAAAAAATCTTGGCATCTGCGTTGAATATGATCTTCGTACGTGCGCTAACATTCTACAATTACTGAGCGATGAAAAAAATACAAATACTGATTTGTATATTAAATGGTTAGGTCACTTGCAATTATATGTTCTGCAACAGCACACTGATTTGAATACAACAAGCTTGCTTTCATCATGCCGATTGTATTTTCCTGAACAAAATAACTTTTATTCATTAAATGAACTTTTAATTATATCGAACAGTGAAGAATATTCTGATGCTATTTCAATTATTTCTAAATATCTCAAATTACAATTAATTTCACCATTAATCAATCAAACGTATTGGCAGTTCAAAGATCTTTTTCATTTGCTGGATTGTAAGTCTACATCTACAATTACTATTGATGACATTTGTACTACAATTGATCTGGCAAATCATGACAAAAATAACTTCTTTGCTTTGGGTGATTGCACTACAATTCTAACAGAGAATGGCATGGAGATAATCATAAGCCTATATCAATATTTGGAAGATTTTATTTTAAAATGNAATGAACTTTTAATTATATCGAACAGTGAAGAATATTCTGATGCTATTTCAATTATTTCTAAATATCTCAAATTACAATTAATTTCACCATTAATCAATCAAACGTATTGGCAGTTCAAAGATCTTTTTCATTTGCTGGATTGTAAGTCTACATCTACAATTACTATTGATGACATTTGTACTACAATTGATCTGGCAAGAAACTATTCATAAAGGATATCGACGTGAAAGTCACATATATTCATCCAATGTCATTGAACTTTTCCCATTCTTTGAGCCTCTAGTAGACAGCAACAGCAGCCTTCTGAAAAAATCTTGCTTATTGAAATATGCCACATCCGTTTTATTAAATAAGCTATTATTTAATAAATGAATATAAAAGACACGAAAAATACATTTTATAAGCGATGAAGAAAAATATGATTTAATCATTAAAAAGCCTCTTTCATATGCATTCTATTTTTAAATGCGAACAAAATATAAAAAATAATAAATGTCATTCGTGATAAATGCAGATAAAAATATGAGCCATGTTCATATTAATATTCCAAATAAATCCTACTTGACATAGTTGTCAATTACTTTAACACGATATTATTATTACACGAATTTCCACCGAGTTCATTTCTTGTTTTGAAAAAAATTGAATTACTACAAATTATCTCCAAATATAATGTACAAAAACATATTCATCGGCATTGTCTGAACTTTCGGAATATTGTATTCTCACTCTTATTTGTCCTTCTTTGGCTTAAACCGCCATCCTTTATATTCAAGGTAAGCGGAGAGAAAGGTAGTAAAACATTAAAACATTACAGAAAGTCTTTTTTTGGGCACTTTCAAGTCCTACAAGTGTAAGTAAACTATGATGTCTATCAATAGCATTTCTTTATTCCTGTAGTTCTGAAGCATAAAGACATAATAATTAAACAATGAAGCTGGATATTCGTATTATGTATAGAATTTTTTTAAATATAGTTACATCTACTGTTTGAATACTTTTTGCTAGTGGTTCTTTTTCAGACAAGAAATGCTTCTATTAGAAAATCAAATACTTTAACTCTTTTGTTTTTCTTTTGGCTATTGAATCTAATGACATTGGATTACAAAAAAAATTTAGAAAAATGTCTTATTTGCGACAAATCACGTTCGAAATTGGCATTTCTTGCTGGGGCATAACAGAATAAATCATATAATTAATAATAAACTGTAGACGATAATTACTCTAAATCATTGAATATGAGCACATTTTGCTATCCCGAATTCGTCAATAAAAAAAATGAAACAGTTTTTAACAAGAAATACAGAAATTTTGACAATTCTTCGCTCGATGCACTCTCATCCTTCTACTGTAACTATATGGATCTCCTTTAGAGATGAATTCCAAATCATGACAAAAATAACTTCTTTGCTTTGGGTGATTGCACTACAATTCTAACAGAGAATGGCATGGAGATAATCATAAGCCTATATCAATATTTGGAAGATTTTATTTTAAAATGTGTCAAAAAGAATGCAGCAAATACAGACTTATATAAAGCAGTTGTGATCAATAAACATTCAACAGCATTCTATGGTAGTCGAGAAGATTTAGCATGGCGTTTTAGTTTTACCTGTAATTCTTTATCACAAGAACTGCAAAAGTTGATTGGTATACAATCACAAAGAAAAAAGATCAGTCTTGTTACATTTAATAGACAAATTATTTTAAAAGAAATAGATACGACTATTTATGCCTGCTTAGAAATAAAAATTATTCAAAATTTATCACGAGATACTGTTCAATGTTACTTTATGTTGCCATCAATTGCTCGCACATGTCCATTACTTATGGCAATATTTGATATTGATTACATTGAGCGTAAAGGCAAAATTGAATGGCTACATACACATACTAATCCTGAGACTTATTTGAACGAATTGACAGAAATATTTCGTGCTACTCTTGATGACAAAGATTTGGAAGTGGTCTCAGCAACATATGCAACTGTAGGTCTTTTTCTTCCCGATTCTTTCGTAATTAACTCAACCACTGAAAAGAGAATAAAGGACAGCAAACGATATTGGTTCGATAGCGATTATCCTTTCTGGATATTTAATAATATAATTCTTCTTTGTAATGAAAAACAAGACAAAGATGTCTCAATAGAAATTCGTGCAATATCTGCATTAACTACTCTATTGCATAAACGAAAACATATACCATTCGAAAAAGCGAAATCAATAGCTCACAAAAACATAAGTAAATGCCGAGCATTTTGTTCCAAAAATATGGCATCTGTTACTTGCGCAGATTCTATGGTCTACTCATTTATTGACATTTTGTTTCCTACTGATCATAGTTCTATCGAATCAATAGTTATATCAATAAGAAAAAATAATACCATTGAAAAGGATATCGAAAACACTACCAGAAGCATTATTGCTGTTGATCGTATTACTGAAGATCAAATTTATCGGGATAGAGTAAAAACACAAGATCATGCGCAAAGAAATAGAAAGACGATAAACGGTTGGAAAGATCCATTTATTGTTGACGGTATCGAACAAGTGCGTATTGGTCAAAATGCAGAGCATTTCTTTTTCGTCTATCTACAAAATCTTTATGGTTCAGTAGATGTAACACCGACCCAAAATTGGCGTTCATCATCACGTCAGATTATCTATCCACAATATCGACACAATGTGAATGATTCGGCTGGTTTTGATTTTGAACTACGTGATACGCGGCAATTGTTTGTTCGCAGTTCAGGGTCAACAACAAAATCTTGTTATTTTGAAGTCAAAGGCACTAGTGGATCGTTTAATGAAACACATAGTCGCTTTTATATTTCTCAGAATGAATTAAACATGTGTCAATCGATTGCCAATGATCCAAAAAAACTACAGCGTGAAGCCTATTTTATTATCGTTGTAGAAAATTGTCTTAATGCTGAAGAAATCTCTTTGGGTACTGTATTTAATTGGTATGACGTAGTGCATTCATCTATAATATACAGTATTGTTATTTTCATTTAATTTTGTTTTTATACATAGGAGTGAAAATTTCCATAAATTAGACAGAAGCCCCGAGAGCTACCGCTGCAGAATTATTTCATCATCAGTAACGAACGGCAGTATTTCCAAAAAAGAAGAAACTAGAGATTATAACAACGATCAACAACAACAGCCAATGAGAAGAGATGATAGATATGGAAATTCTATGACGTCGAATGTATCTACGAAAGGAGAAGACGCGACGCCTCGTCCTTATGTTCCACCTCATCGTCGGAATCCTCATTAGAAATGGTAGCATACTTCCAAATTGTTTTGTTCAGAGTTGATTTTCATAATGGAAACCAAATGAATAAATAACAAAATACACTATTTTTTTCAACACAGATCACGCACTCATGCATCAATGAATATAAAAAGATGGGTATATGTAACATGACTTGAACAATTTTTAACGATTGAATGATTCATTTAATTGAAAAAACAAAACTAGGGTGTATGTGTGGGTGTGGGTGTCGGTGTCGGTGTCGGGTGGGTTTAAGTGCTCTCCTTCTATTAACTCACACCCACACCCACACCCACACCCTCCGATTGTTGATATGGGTGGGGGCAATTATAAAGAAGCAATTGAAATAGGACTATGGCACGTCGTTCAGCAGAGTGAACAGCCAGACAGAATATTCCAAGTCATTTTAATTGGAGATGCACCGGCTAAAGAAAGACCAGCGATAGCGAGAGACAGAAATGCTAGCGGTGGTGAAACGTATTGGAGTAAAACTAAGTGCAAAACATCCACTTACTACATGGATGAACTGCAAAAGCTGAAGACAAAAAGCCTTCCAGTGCACGCACTTTATCTTGCTGAAAGTGCAGCAAAAAATTTAAAAAAAATTAGGTACGAAACATTAGGACTCTGGGAAAAATTAGATATTCATTCTCCTCAATGGGCTGCCTTTCTGACTAATTTTGTAGCTGAAAACATTTTGAAAAAATCTGCTGGTGACCAAGCAAATGCTCCAGTAGAACTTTATAGAAAGAAGTACGCGAAACGTTTTACGGATTAAGCAGTAACTTATAGAAAAAGGTATTCAAACATTTTTAAACACGAAGATTTCTGATTCCCGATTAGCTTGAATTCAAGATCATTTTGATAAATTTTATATCGTCTAGTATTTCCCATACGCGAAGGAAATCCCATGTTACATGATATATCCGAACCTCAGTAATAGTTTAACCATATATTGTCTCTGATGTTTTTCTTCATTGTACTTTACTTTATTGTCATTGATCGCATTCACTGAATACATTTTTATGTTTTTTTTTTCTTTTTGTTTCTGAATTTTTGTTCGAACAACTCCATGTTTGGTATCACTTTGCATTCACAATTCGTGAACATCTTTTGTTCATAATGTAAAAGTGAATTCATTTGTTCAAATAAATTTCACAAATTGAAAAATTACTTTATAGTAACTAAAAATAAGAACTCGAATGAATAATAGTGTATTTGTTACACGTAAGAATGATAACATTTTTATCTATTGCGAACTCACTTTAGATGAGTGTGGCTGTAAGAATACTGTGGGTTGTGAGCATGTGGGCAACAATTTACTGGAAAGGTGCAGTGAAATGTGCACACACTCACCCATACCCTTTCACACACCCCACTCACACACCTACACCCCAAACCACACACTCACACCCACACACACAACCTGAATACCTATTCACGAATACCAAAAGACCTTTCAGAGGTGGATTGAGAGGATGAAACTTTGTATCAATCATCATGGGGACTACTTCGAACATTTACTGTAAATAGAATAGCAAAGTGTTTTTCCTATGAATAAATATTTGAAAGTGACGGAACTCTTTGACTGCCCTCGTATATATGATTTATTCAGTTGATCTATACCTATATTGGGACAATAGTTGGAGAATAAGATTATCAAACATAGAAATAAATAACATTTTGTTTTAAATAATTTCGATTTTTTATTGAGAAAGTCAAGAAGAAACAATAACTAAATTAATAAGAGAAAATTTTTCGGAACAAATCTCAAAAAAAGTATTATTGTCAAAGCTATTCTACCAGGTAGAAATGGACTTTCAAGATAAAATCAATCGATTAATGTCTGTTTAAAAAAATAATGGCCGTAGTCATTCTTGAAATAACTCAAGAATGGAAAGAGCTTGAGAATCGCAATTTTCGTCGTTATGTAGGTAAATGAGCACTCTACATATTAATCCAGACATGTTCAAAATCGCTGCAGATTCAGAGTTTCGTCACCAACAATCTTTCAAAGACTTCATTGCAACCTCTTTTAGATCAATACAGACCTATATGTCTAAACTCTTGGAAAGTTAGCTCGGAGACCTCTCTAGGAAATGACGCCAGGCTGACCTCTCTATTTATTATTGTTCGAATAAGGTATACATTTTCCTGAAACATATGCAGGTGCTTTTTCTCAATAAAATACCTTTCAGTTACATATTTTGAATCTATACTCGTTCTGCATAGTATAATACTTCGTCTTCAATTATAAAAGTTGTTGAAGATTCAGAACAACAAATCCCACAAAGGACATCATGATCAACAACGTGTTTTGTTGTATGAACTCACAAGTTATCCTATTTAGAAATATTACCTGCATGGGTTTTAGGAAAATGTGCGCCATTTTCGAACAATAATAGATAGACAGGTCAGCCTGGCGTCATTTTGTAGAGAGATCTCCGCGATAACTTTACAATAGTTTAGATATATAGGTCCTTATAGAACTAGAAGAATCGGCGGCGAACTCTTTGAAAGATTGATGGTGACGAAACCATGAATCTACAACGATTTCCAGTGTGTCTTGATTAATATATAGAGTACTCATTCACCTAAGTAATGGCAAAAACTGCAGTTATTCAGCTCTTTCCATTCTTGAATTATTTCCAAAATGGCCACAACCACTATTTTTTTGAACAGTCAATACTTTCAAACATTTTGGTTTTCCATCTTGTTCATATGAATTATATATATATCGACAGCACCAACCATTCCCTAAAACAATTTTACAAACCATTTTCTAGAATTCATATTTGGATTCTCAGAATAAAAAGAAACTGAACATATGCGCAGAATTTATCTCATGTTTCAATGATACAAAAGATTTTCAACTATTAAGTGTTCTCTCTTGAAACGTAAATCGAAATGAGCTATTTTGTTCAGTTTTCGATTCTGATTTATTCGAAAAATGTTATCTTCTCTCGTTCATTGGAAGCAAGACTATGGATGAAAACATTTTTGGAGCCAATTTTTACTTACGGTAAATCTCAAAAGCTTAAAAAATAAAAGTTTTAAAACTCAACGAAATATTTTACTAGGAAAATAGAACCAATGACGAAATGAGCAAATCTCGCATTGTTCGTATGACCTCCAATTATGATGTTCGTCAAGTTTCTCGGATCCACCTCACGAGAAAACATTTCCGAATGTTTGACGCCGTCCTCACTCATATTATGACCATTCATAGAACTCATCATGGCAACAAAAAATTCCATAAGGATTTGACCTTTCGTCACTTAATTTTAGATAAATAATTATTGCTTTATTTCTCAATAACCAAGAAATATTAAATTATGAAACTAATCATTTCACTTTTAAGTCATAAAAGACAAGAATTTTTCTTCTATAACTTCAACATACAATAATAGTTTGTTGTGCTGGATATGAAAGAAATTTTTCCAGAATTTATTCCTAAGCTAGCGTTGAATCTTAAGATCACTTTCAGTTTTGTGAAAAAAAAATCGTGGAAAATCTGAAAAGTAAGTTGCAATTGAGAAAATACTTGGAAATTTTTCTAAAAAAAATAAACCTTTTTCTAGCGATTTTTTCGTCATTTAAGGATCAGTGACTTTTTTCTGGCCATCAATATGTTTTCTTAAAAATGATAAAAAAATAACAAAATCAAGTTGAAAATTTCCTAGAAAATCAAAAGATGTTGCAAGTAGTTCTCGCACACACAGATTGTATCTATAACTATAGTATCGAGACCACTCAGCATCTCGTGGGAAAGTCAGTTGAGTGAGATCCAGTTGTGTTCAAAATTCTTCTATTTAAAAACAATTCTTTTTGTCTCGCTAATACCTATCCTAATGGTTACTACGATTTACTGTGAGAAGAGCTTAATGCATACCTCCGTTGAGTATTAGTATTAGTTAATCTTGATATTTTTTCATGATTTCAATGACTTCTTCGTCCATTGTTTGCGAAAATGACTGATAACATTGCCCAACAGCACAAAAACCATAGGGCATTGTCAAACATATTATTTTATCAACTGTTGGACGAATCTCCTCGACAGTATCATCAGGACCACATGGAACAGCAACAATGATTGATTTAGCATTCAAATGCTTACATGTATTTATAGCTGATTTCATTGTTGCGCCTAAAAAGAGAAAAAACATACCGACTATTAAAACACAATCAAATATTTTTTTAAGAAAACTATTGCCATTCAAAGTCTTCATAGAAAATGACTGATGAGAATGTTAACCACACAAGGATTGATGAGAGAGAATGTCTGATAATGCTGTAAAAATCATCTCAGTCAGATAATAGTCGAAATTGGGTGAGCTTTCAGTTTATTTTCACAAACCGTCTTCGGACACAATATGACGATATTACGCTAGATGTTACGAAGAGTATCAATGAGTTATCCGAAAAACAAATAAGAAAAAAAAATCATAATATCGTCATATTGTGTCTAAAGCTAGTTTGTGATAATAAATTGACAGCTCACACAATATCGACTATTATCTAACTGAGATGATTTTTACAACGGTTATCCAATATCTTCGGTCTCGTTATTTCTACCGCTTCTATTACGAATGTACGCAAAATTTTTTCTTGACTATTGTGCCGTTCATTGGTTTTTTTTGTCTACAGAATCCTCATATTTTACTCAACACTATAGATTACCTATTGTATCAGAAACATCGTTCTGTTTATGATCAGCATAAAAACGAGCATATTACTGTTTTTTTCTAATATGTTTATGGCAGTGATGTTCATGCGGCGTTTTTCGTCGCCCATGAGTAGGGTACCCAGCCAAGTCAATTTTTATAAAACGATTTTTCCGACCAATCAAGAGGCTGGGTTTCTGAAGTTTAGTTTATTTCCAACCATTGATTCCATGGCCTTCACCCATGGAGTAAACGAAAGAAACGAGAAAAATGTGTAGGCAGAACATGTATAGATCCGTTACAGTTTTCAGTTCTATAAACAAGTTCTTTTCATATGAACTGGATTATTGAACAGCTGATTTTATACTAACTAGGAGAGTTAATTTATTTTTATTGTTCTTTATAATAACGAAAAAATATAATTGAAATCTTTATATTTATAAAATAAAGATAAAGTAAATAGTAAAGACAGGTATTGTTTCTATGAAAATCCTTTCTTTTATTCTCTTCAAGTAGCTTACAACAAATTATAGTATCATAAATACAAAAAAAGTATACTAGCAAGGTTTTTTTTGCATATATTTTTCATCTATCATTCTCATTTTTTTTAATAAAATCATATATCGAAGTGTTGCTAGCTATATGAAAGAACGTTGATTAACATATTCTCTTGTTATACTAGGTAGTTGTCTATTTACCTATCTCAAGAAAAATCTTTATTCTTTCATTTATCTTTATTTTATCAATATAAATATTTTATTTATATCTATCTTATAAAGTAAAAATAAACACTTCTAGTTTTAACTCTAAATTTTCACCAGCTTCAATCCAGCATACCTATGCAGTTTAGTCACATGATTCGAAAGGTCTAAAATGAGATAGTCAATAACACCAGTTTTTTTTTAAAAGAACCGATTATCGGTTCCAGTTATTCTCAAAATAAATGATGATCGAAACTAGTTCCGTTTTTAATCTGCAATGTCACACGTTTAAACATGTAAGATGCTGTATCACTAATAAGGCGATAAAAAAAAAATTTACACTCTTGTTATCTATTCTTTCATGAATTTTAGAAAGTTCATTAAGGCCATGGGGTAAGAAAAAATTATTACCCATGGTCCAAACCATAGGTGAGCAAATGAATGTGGAGAAGTTGACTCCATGGGAGAAGGTGATGGGGTGATATGTCACTCCATCTCCATTTGGGGTATCACATCATGGATTTCCCATGAGTATCTCAATGAACATCTCTAGTTTATGGAATATTTCATGTACATCAGATCTGTCTAAGTCTTCTTGTAATAATGTGCTGTTAAAATGAAGAAAAACCAATGTTTATCGGAAATCTACATCGTTTCTCGTATATTTAAAACAATACCTGTAGCTAAACCATCATCGACCAAAATGGCTGTTTTTCCACTTAAGTCATTCATTTGTTGACGTTTTCCACGATAGACTTGTTTTCGTCGTTGAGCTTCGTCAATTTGTTTTTTTTTACTCTGTTGCACACTTGGTTCATCAATAAGATTATGTTGTCTGGCATAATCATTCCAAAAAACATTGCCAAATTCAGATACAGCACCAATAGCAAATTCTTCATCTCCTGGACACGGAATTTTTCGTGGAAATACTAAATCATGAGTTATTCCCAATAGTTGAGCAACTTCATCACCGACAACTGTACCTCCACGTGGTAAACTAATAACTAGATATGAACGTTTTTCATTCGATGATAATGATTTGATTCTTTGTAATTCACTATGAGCAGCTAACTGACGACCAGCATCAGTTCGATCACGAAATATAATTGTTTCACCATGATGAGTCATCTTTTATAGTAACTAAAAAAGACTATTACAATTTGACACACATTCTACTCATACAATGAACAAAGTCGACTGAAATTCTCTTCAAACAAAGTATCAAATTTGTACTCTATAAACGAACAATATTTGGGCAACGACGCAAATGTTATAAACAACGACTATATTTTCTATTGGATGATAGGATACCATTATTAAGTGAATTTAAACTTTATGCACAACGTATTACAATGAAAATCAGTGACAATTGTCTTAAATTAAAAGCTTAGAAAATAGAAGAAATTAAACAATTATTTTTCGAAAAGAGAATAATTTGTTGCCTTCGATTTTTATCATGCTCAGACTAGATGGCGACACAGTTAAATGTAATATCATAATGCTGTCACATGTTGACTTGAGTTTTTTTTAATTTTCTCTATGACTGTAAAGGATAGAGGCCATTTTCGCATTATTTTGCATGTATCATTAACAGTATTTTTAATGAATGAGTGTACCCAGCAAAATAACGGGTACGGTACGGTAATAATAAAATATTTACACACTGTTTTACACGCTGGTGAAAAAAGTAGCGTGTACGCTGTACACACTGAATTTTTTTTATACACTTTGATTTTTCTAGTATTTCCGTGCTTCTGCTGTATGTACAAAAATATAATTTATATAGGGTGTCCAGTAAGTAACTCCACAAAGAAAAAGTTGAATATCTTCATTACAACTCGACCAAACGGGCTCATTTTTTTACCAAGGATAGAGGCATGTTCACATTTCAAATCCATACGGACAAGGTTAGTGGGAACCTTTGCAAAGTATCACTATTGACCTCAACAAGAAAATTTTACTTGTTCAAAGATAGAAAAAGAAAACAATANCATCTATTTAAAAAAATAAAGATCTGCAGATGAAACTGAGATACATCAATCATTGTCCTCTATTTGAAATGATTAGATTATTCAAAGTAATAATATTAGGATAAGAAAGCATTTCGATTATATCAAAGGTTATTTTTAATTAGGAAAAATAAACAATAGATTAATTTATAAGCAACAAGGGAACATATCTCACGCTTAGATATAGTTTAACTCCGTATGTTAGCACTGAGTAAGAGGAGTTTGTAAAATCAAGAAGTTCACATATGGGGTTCAAACCTGTACATTATCCAATCAAAATTATGACTGATTCTATGCGATCGTCGCCCTCACGCTCACTCTCGCAGAAAAATATAAGAATGTTTTACCTAAAGTTTTTCGTAAAGACAGGTTTCACAGCTACTAAAATATCTCGAAAAATTCATCTAAAAAGATTATATATCTTTATTAAGCGTCGAATATCTAAAATAACTCGATTCCATGGCTTGTTTTTTTACACAAACATTTTTTTTGAATAATTGATGTATCAAGAAAAATTCAATCGTTCGATTTAAAATTTTTAGGACATTCTGTTTACTATGACACATGTCTAAAAATAAGATGTCCTATGAAAAATTTGTAAATAAGTCTTCCATGGATAGCTGACTAGTCAGGTAGCGAACACCCATTGAATCAGGTAATACTCTAGTTTGATAATGAATTTGTCAAACTCTTCTGGCAATTAGCTTAACTTAATTTCACTGAGTTGTACTCATAACTGACAACGTAGAAATCATTCAATGTCATCGAATGATAATAGATGAAATATTTTTCTTCGAAATACGCCAGTGTTCAAAGAAAAGTCACAGCATCAATACTATAAGAAACATGTATATCACTTAAAGACCAAAAATGAGGTGTCTGTTTTTCAATGTGATCTTATCGAAAAGACACTTCTGCTATTTCGAAGAATAAAGGACAAAGTTCTATTGAGTACAAAAACATATTATTATTACATACACTTCAGTTTAGATGAGTGATACAATTATATAAATGATGCTGAATTTGAAGGCGAATTTTCCAACATTTATCAAAATTATTCCTATACTCGTTTATAGTTGTCAACAATGTGTTTTCGTTTGCTTTGGAATATTGGATAACTGCGGTTTCTATTTCAGATTAACGTTAACAACGTATTCACAACCATCCACTCGATGAAGATAAAATACTTTTTTGACATTGTCATCAACGTGATCTGCATTGTAAGACAGTATCTAAATAAATAGTTTGCTAATNCCAGGTCTTGATGCTATGTCATATATAACTCCATTATGGATAACAGATAAGGACTTTCCTGAGTGTATTTCTAAACAAATTTCAACATATCCTCAATATACTCATCTATATTTGCCGTTAAAATTTCAAGCACATACACCTGAAGCTAATTGATTTCTTGATCAAGTTATCAAAACTGTAGATCCATGCATTTTACTTAATATGCGTCAATTGAAAAAACTCGAAATTGTTGACGAAAGACAAAAGAAAGTAACAATTATTGAAAAACAAATTATAGGTCCAACTAAATTAGAAGAACAATCGAGTGTTACATTTGAAGATTTTACATTTCTTAATCTTTCTGGATCTGTCATTCGATTGCATACATCAACAGGATATAGCACTTTTCGAGTATACATGTGTTATATTAATGTAGCAAACTACATTGAGCAAGAACGACCTCCTAAAACACGACTAACTATAGGATTCCCTTGTGAAAAAGATAATGAATTGGCAAGTATAGTTTATAAAGGTTTACCTGTTTGTGATCTTGGTTTTAATTTTTTATTCAATGCTGATTTTCAATTAGTTACAAATCGAGAGAATGTTCAAGAAAACGTTCCGTTCAATACATTTATTCGTACTCATCTATCAGCACTTTTTGTCTATCTTTTATTAAATGATATAGACCTAAGAAAAGATTTTAATCGTTATTGTCCATTATTCAATATATATCAAGGAAAACATTCATCATGGTGGCTTCTTATGATTGATTATATCAAGAAATTCATAAACAAATATCTTCCATTATTATTGGATATTCCAACAGGTAGGCACTGATTTGAACATTAGTCTAAAATAAGTTAATAATCATGTTTAGACAAAAATATGCGTTACCTCAATCGAGATCTAGCATTACTTGTATCAAATGAACAATTATGCCAATGCGCTAATATTTACGTCATTGATCCAGAAAATTCTTTCACAACATTGGAACGTTTAAAATCTTTTCAAATTCAACCAGTTTCAATTATAGATGTCTTGGAATGTTTTCCACATCGAAAGGAAATATCAATAAATGCATTTCGACAACAATTCAGACTTTGGACACAGCAACAAGATGAACAATGGTGGTCTCAATTTTTTTCATCATTTATCTCAAATGATGACATCAGAAATTTCTCTTAAACTTTTACAAATACCAATTTTCCTTCTTCAAAATGATGGTCAAAGACAATATTTACCAATCAACAATAATACTCAATTACTTCTTTTCATTAGTAATGATCCAAAATTTCGGATGTGGAAAAAACAACTTACGGTTTTACTATACTCTTCAGAATCAGAAAGAATTGCTCTTATCAAAACGAACCAAATACAGGTTCTAACAGAAGAACGAATGATTGAGATTATTCGTCAGCATCATTTACAATTAGCTGTGTCATCTCAGCTTACAGATCCTGATGTTAACTTAATCGAAGAAATATGGAAAGATTTAAATTATTTAAAATCTCATTTAGATAAAATAAATAAATCTACTCCATTTTTAGTACCAGTCATTGGGACATCAAAGCTTACTCCAATTCAAAATGCAATGTCACCAACAATATTCCGAATAGATATGCGAAAATTTATACATCCAACAACAGCACTGATCATTGATGTTCCTTATAATAATGCCCATCAATATCGATTATTAGAAATTCTTCAATGGGAGCATTGTCTACTTGAAATGAATTGTCAAAAAGCATCAATTCTTCTTCGTTTAAACTACTCTATCAAAGAATTACCACTTCTGCCAGTATCAACAATGTTTAACGATGAAAAATGTGCTCAATTAGGAGAGTTGATTCTTTCATATCAAAGAGACGACACAAAACATTGTCTTCATCAGTTTCCCATTGTTGATAATTCAAAAGGCGAACAACAAATAAGTCCAGTTTCAGTCACATTTGATGAAACGATTGTACTTAATTTACCAACATTACCACGCATCACTATTCCGCTTTATTGTCGTGTATTCGCAAAAAGTCTTGGTATCTGCGTTGAATATGATCTTCGTACGTGCACCAACATTCTACAATTACTCAGTGATGAAAAAAATACAAATACTGATTTGTATGTTAAATGGTTAGGCCATTTACATTTATATGTTCTGCAACAACACATTGATTTGAACACAACAAGCTTGCTTTCATCATGTCGGTTGTATTTTCCTGAACAAAGTAACTTTTATTCATTAAATGAAGTTTTAATTATATCGAACAGTGAAGAATATTCTAATTGCTATTTCAATCATTTCTAAATATCTCAAATTACAGTTAATTTCACCATTAATCCATCAAACGTATTGGCAGTTCAAAGATCTTTTTCATCTGTTGGATTATAAATCTACATCTACAATCACTATTGATCACATTTGTACTGTAATTGATCTAGCAAGTCATGATAAAAATAACTTCTTTGCTTTGGGTGATTGTACTACAACTCTAACAGAGAATGGTATGGAAATAATCATAAGTCTATATCAATATTTCGAGGAGTTTATTTTAAAATGTGTCAAAAAGAATGCAACAAATACCGACTTATATAAAACAGTTGTGATCAATAAACATCCAACAGCATTCTGTGGTAGTCAAGAAGATTTAGCATGGTGTTTTAGTTTTACCTGTAATTCTTTATCACAAGAGCTGCAAAAATTGACTGGTATACAATTACAACGAAAAAAAAATTCGTCTTGTTACATTTAATCGACAAATTATTTCAAAAGAAATAGATACGACTATTTATGCTGGTTTGGAAATTAAAATTATTCAAAACTTATCACGAGATACTGTTCAATGTTACCTTTATGTTACCATCGATTGCTCGCACATGTCCATTAGTTTTGGCAACATTTGGTATTGATTACATTGAGCGTAAAGGCAAAATTGAATGTCTCAGCATGATATGCAGCTGTAGGTCTTTTTCTTTCCGATTCTTTCGTAATTGACTCAACCATTAAAAACAGAATAAATGAAAGTAAATGATTTGGTTCGATAGCGATTATCTTTTCTGGATATTTAATAATACAATTCTTCTTTGTACTGAAAAAAAAGACAAGGATTCCTCAATAGAAATTCATGCAATATCTGCTTTAACCACTCTATTGCATAAACGCAAACATATACCATTCGAAGAAGCAAAATCAATAGCTCAAAAAAACATAAGTAAATGCAGGGTATTTCATTCTGAATATATGGCATCTGTTACTTGCACAGGATCTACCACTTACTCATTTACTGACATTTTGTTTCCTACTGATCATAATTATATCGAGTCAATAATTATATCAATATGAAAAACTAATACCGTTGAAAAGGATATCGAAAAGACTACCAGAAGTATCATTGGTGCTGATTGTATTGCTGAAGATCAAATTTATCGGCATAGAGTAAAAACACAAAATCATTTGCAAAGAAATAGAAAGATGATAAACGATTGGAAAGATCCATCGATTGTTGATGGTATCCAACAAATACGTATTGGTCAAAATGCAGAGCATTTCTTTTTCGTCTATCTACAGAATATTTATGGTTCAGTAAATGTAACACCGACCCAAAATTGGCGTTCATCATCACGTCTGATTACCTATCCAAAATATCGATGCAATGTTAATGATTCAGCTGGTTTTGATTTTGAATTACATGATACACAGCAATTGTTCGTTCGCGACTCACGGTCGACAACAAAATCTTGTTATTTTGAAGTCAAAGGCACTAGTGGATCGTTTAATGAAACACATAGTCACTTTTGTATTTCTCAGAACGAGTTAAACATGTGTCAATCGATTGCCGATGATCGGAAAAGACGAGAGCGTGAAGCATATTTTATTGTCGTTATAGAAAATTATCTTGATGCTGAAGAAATCGTTCTTGGTACTGTATTTAATTGGGATGACATATTACATTCATCTATAATATGCTGTATTATTATTTTCATTTAATTTCGTTTTTATATGTAGGAGTGAAAATTTCCATAAATTAGACAGAAGTCCCGAGAGATACCGGTGCAGAATCATTTCATCATCGTTAACAAACGTCAGTGAGGCCGAAAAAGAAGAAATTAGAGATTACAACAAGCATCAACAACAACCAATGAGAACAGATAACAGATATGGAAATTCTACGACGCAGAATGTATCTACGAAAAGAGATGACGCAGCGCCTCGTCTTTATGTTCCACCTCATCGTCGGAATCCTCATTAGAAATGGTAATATATTTTCAAATTATTTTGTTGACAATTGGCTTTCATAATAGAAATCAAATGAATACATGCATCAATAAATATAAACGAATGGGTATATGTACCATGACCTGAACTATTTTTAACGATTGAATGATTCATTTAATTGAAAAATCAAAATTTGATTCAAATGTAATTATTTGTTTTTTCTGTCATTTCATCTATAGAACTGAAAAAGCATCTATTTAAAAAAATAAAGATCTGCAGATGAAACTGAGATACATCAATCATTGTCCTCTATTTGAAATGATTAGATTATTCAAAGTAATAATATTAGAATAAGAAAGCATTTCGATTATATCAAAGGTTATTTTTAATTAGGAAAAATAAACAATAGATTAATTTATAAGCAACAAGGGAACATATCTCACGCTTAGATACAGTTTAACTCCGTATGTTAGCACTGAGTAAGAGGAGTCTGTAAAATCAAGAAGTTCACATATGAGGTTCAAACCTGTACATTATCCAATCAAAATTATGACTGATTCTATGCGATTGTCGCCCCTCACGCTCACTCTCGCAGAAAAATATAAGAATGTTTTACCTAAAGTTTTTCGTAAAGACAAGTTTCACAGCTACTAAAATATCTCGAAAAATTCATCTCAAAAGATTATATATATTTATTAAGCGCCGAATATCTAAAATAACTCGATTCCATGGCTTGTTTTTTTTACACAAACATTTTTTTTGAATAATTGATGTATCAAGAAAAATTCAATCGTTCGATTTAAAATTTTTAGGACATTCTGTTTACTATGACACATGTCTAAAAATAAGATGTCCGATGAAAACTTTGTAAATATGTCTTCCATGAATAGCTGACTAGTCAGGTAACGAACACCCACTGAATCAGGTAATACCCTAGTTTGTAATGAATTTGTCAAACTCTTCTGGCAATTAACTTAATTTCACTGAGTTGTACTCATAACTGACAACGTAGATATCTTCAATGTCATCGAATGATAATAGATGAAATATTTTTCTTCGAAATACGCCAGTGTTCAAAGAAAAGTCACAGCATCACTTAAAGACCAAAAATGAGGTGTCTGTTTTTCAATGTGATCTTGTCGAAAAGACACTTCTGCTATTTCAAAGAATAAAGGACAAAGTTCTATTGAGTACAAAAACATATTATTATTACATACACTTCAGTTTAGATGAGTGATCCAATTATATAAATGATGCTGAATTTGAAGGCGAATTTCCCAACATTTATCAAAATTATTCCTATACTCGTTTATAGTTGTCAACAATGTATTTTCGTTTGCTTTGGAATATTGGATAACTGCGGTTTCTATTTAAGATTAACGTTAACAACGTATTCACAACCATCCACTCGATGAAGATAAAACACTTTTTTGACATTGTCATCAACATGATCTGCATTGTAAGACAGTATCTAAATAAATAGTTTGCTAATCTCTTCATTTTATATTAGATGTTATTGTTCGATGTAATAATTGATCATTTGAGATTTTTTGCCTTTGTTGTTAACATTTACAAAGAAGTTTCAAAATGTATTTTTCCTTGACGACATGAATTATGGTACAATGATACTTAGTCTTCTTTCTATTGATAAAGTTTTCCAGTCGATTTCTTGTTGTTGTTCAATTAATAAAATATTTATTTAAAAAAGAACCTTGAAAAAAACATATTCATAAAGAACAAAATTTTATAAAATTGTTATTTTCTTCAAGCTATTCAGTTGTTGTGATTGACTCGTGTAGAAGAGACTTTTTCAGGGTGTGGATGTACTCGAATAGAATCACACCCACACCCTCTGCCATTTTCGTAGTCTTTCTTTACACATTGTCATTTACATATCTTCGCTGCTGTTAATACATCAAATTTTAAATCGGAGAATATCAACAATTAATTTAATTATTAAATGAAAAAAATCTGACAACAACTATAGATGATCTTAATAAAATTGATTATTTCGATGATGATGATTCTCGATCAATTGAAAAAAAAAATTGTTATGATGATAATGATATTGATCATCTATCTATACTTTCACATCTTGAAAATGAGATAGAATGAAATTCTCAAACTTCTTTTTCTTGTCTCATTCTTAGACATTAGTTTGTTTTCTTAATTATCTCCGCATGTTTTCTTTCTCTCAATATTCATTGTTGTTTATTTAACTTACATTGTTATATTATTTTGCTTAATAAGAGAAAATAATTTGAGTGTGTCTTTGTTGTTTGATAAGACGAGAATTTTTTTTCTTATAATGTCAATCTTTATTACAATACTAAAAATTTTATTACGAATAAAGCACATCAGTGACTGATGAATGTCTCATTCAAAAACCAATTCATGTTTAAAAGAACATACACAACTTATAATAAACAAATTCATAATATATTTTGGTTAAATATATACCGAGTGAACCAAAATTTTTGCGACATTTCTAATTTCATATTTATCTCGATGCGCCATGAGAATCTCTACGAAAACTGTATAAAGAAAACTCTACTAATTGTTTCTGATGATTTTTTCCATACTCAAAATGAACAAGCTACATGATAGTGCTACTATTTAGCATGTTTAAGAAGGCATTTTTGTTTTGCATATATCTCGGTCTTAGAAAATGATAACATCTTGATTTGTTTTTTGAAATATACGTCAGCGAAAGCTCTACGCCATCGCTTTGTAAAAATTCCCAATAAAAAAAAAACGTTTTCCAAACATTTTTATTATGCTCAATGCTCTGAGAAGTAGTACTCTCATGTGGATTTTTCATATCGATTATGAAAAAAACCATCAGAACAAGTTAATAGAGATTTCTTTATACAGTTTTTTTAGAGCTTCTTGTGCCAATAGTCTATAGTCTCAAATATTCAGAAAAATCACGTATCACTTTTTGATACGGGCACATACACCCTTTCTTGTTCATATATTTGCGTTTCC